CCCTCTATGTGAGTGTTTGCAATCACATTCGGCCCAGGGCGCTGACAGTGATTGAAACAATCAGTGCCCCCCAATGTGATTCAACTAATCAAGCGTGCTGCGCGTTGGCCTCCAGACCGCTACTTGAGAATCCCCCGTTCTCGGCTGGCTGAGTCTGCAGAAGGGCGACGACCGCCACCCCAGAATCCCCCGTTCTTGTGTTTGTTGGGGGGTCGATAGATAAGGGATTTTGAGCACCCGCATCCTAGCCCCATCCGATATATCCTCATCAAACAATACGCTGCCGGGAACTGCTGCTCAGCTGGTCGCAGCGGCGGCCCCCGGCGGCACGCCATGCCCCTGCGAGCAGACAGCGCGTCGGCTCCACTCCGCGGGGCGGGGTGGCTGGGAAATGCTCGGGGCGTTGACGCCTGGGCACTGGGAAGTGGTTAGAGCGTCGCCCCGAGGCGTGGTGGGCCAAAACTGGCAGCGCGACACGCCAGCAAACATTCAGACCGTAAACGCTCACCGTGTTAATATATGTATAAATACACAGATATATCAATACACATACAGATATACATATACATATATATACACGTGCCTATACATATATATATATATGTACATACATATACATATACATATACATATACATATACATATACATATACATATACATATACATATACATATACATATACATATACATATACATATACATATACATATACATATACATATACATATACATATACATGTACATATACATATACATATACATACACATATACATATACATATGCATATACATATACATATAACTATACATATACATATACATATACATATACACGTACATATACATATACAAATACATATACATGTGCATATACATATACATATACATATACATATGCATATGCCTATACATATACATATACATATCTATATATATATATGTGTATATATGACAAACAGAAACGGACCAGCAGCCTCAAGCCACTGACATAGATATAGACCCTGACAGAACAAAAATAGCGCTCGAAGGCCGGGGTGGTGACGGACCCCCCTGGACGGCCAGTCGTATTTCCCAAAAAAATCCTGGCAGCATCAAGCAGCAAGGCTCACGCGCTTCATTGAACAGGCGGACTCGTAGAAACGCAGAGATGCTGAAGACAACGAAGTGGCAAAGAAGGAGGGCAGCTTTCAGAGCTCTTGGAAGTCCTTACCCATGAGGAAACATCATACCACTCACGCGGAAAAACTTGGAAGTGGGCATGGGGTCATGTGGTATTATTCGGATTGGTGCGAGGTCGCATTGATGCCATTGGCCGGGGTGGCCGCCGAGCGCACTTCCTCGGGCCAACTTTGCATGGGGGCTGGGTACGGGGTGGGCAGGACTGAATCTCCCCTTACCATGTCGGGGGGGGGGGGGGGAAAGCGACGACAGCCATGACTCTGACAGATGTGACAGATTCCGATGGTGGCAGAGAACGCGACCATTCGCTGCACCTGCCAAATGCGCGTACTGTGCGTGATCTGGCCCGCAGTCCGTTGCAACAACTGGGTGCCCGTGTGATGTGTAGCTGACACAATTTCAAACTGTCGAGTTTTGAGACCACAGGACCACCCATTCTTTACAGCGCATCCCAGGCTCAATCACACGGATCACGCTCCGAACGCAGATGTGCCCAGAGTGCTCTCTGGGCGACCATGCTGCGAGATGGACGCTGACAGCGTGCGCGCACTGGTGTACGCTTGGATGCGAGACGAGGGCGGATCTCCAGTCACGAGAACGCGCAACGCCAAAGCGGTAAGGGCCCAAGAACGCATGACAGCGACGACGGCCACGACTCTGAGAAATGTGACAGGTTATGACGATGGCAAGGCGCGCGACAATTCTCCAGACCTGCCATATGCGTGTGATCTGCGTGATCTAGCCCGTGATCCGATGCAAGAAAACGGGTGGCCCTACGATCTGCGAGTGTGATCAGGTTTAAGCTGCACATTTCTCTAAATTTCCGAAAAAGGGCTTGCACTTAGGGATTTTTCCTTCCGTTTTTAAGCAACTGATCTCTGGCCCCGGTCGAGCAAGCTCATCGCCGCCCGTCGCCCGCCCGTCGCCGCCGTCGCCGCTGGGCCCCGGTGCCGGTCCGGCCGGCCCGTTGCCGTCCGTCGCCGCCCGTCGCCGCCGTCACTGCTGGGCCCCGGTACCGCCCATCGCCGCCGTCGCCGCTGGGCCCCGGTGATGGTCCAGCCAGATCGTTGCCACCCGTCGCCGCCGTCGCCGCTGGGTATCGCTTTGCGTTGCAATCGCATTGCGTCGCATTGCCTCGCATTGTTTCGCACTGCTTCGCGTTACTTTTCACGAACTAGATTGCACCACATTGATAGGACCACCTAGACTGCACCAAATAGATCGAATCACCTAGAACACACCACACTGGGGCACCAAATGAATTACATCGCACCACATAGATTGCACCAATTGGTTGGCCCCCTAGACTGCACCACATAGATTGGACCACCTGGATTACACCACGTTGATGCACCACACATATTGACAGATTGCACCACGTAGATTGCACAACCTGGATTCTCCTTTTTTCAAAAAAGAGAATCGGCCATACCCTTCCCCGGGATTATCTCACCCCCTCTTCGTATTGCAATTTACAGACGTGTTCGCCCCATCGTCCATCCTGAGAATGAACTCCCCCCGCCATCCCCTGCAGCAAGTACTATGCGCGCGCACTCGTTTATCAACAATCGTCAATGTCCAAGAACCCTTTACAACAAATGCAACGACATACATACGCGCGCGTCGTCGCGCGCGCATGCTGAAATCCTTCAAAAAGCGTCGGTTGCGCATGGTTTTCAACATCGAATGTCCGATTGTTTGTTTATTATATCTGAACGAGAAGCACAAATCTTCAAACAAACTCGCGCGCGCTCCAACGAATTCTTAAGAAAACTATATATTTCCGACGTGCTCATACAATGCTGCCAAACGGGTTTCGCGCGCGCATGTCGAAATCGTTCGAATTCCCTTGCGCGCGTGCCGCCGCGAGAATCCTTTGCAACAACGAAAAAACGAAGTGCACACGCGCGCGCCATCGCGCGCGCGCATGCCGACATCAATATTTTCTTGGGCGCCACATGCCGACATCATTCGCACGCCATTGCGCGCGTGCTGGAGGGGGGCACGATCCGTGTCAGAAAATGTCACGCGGGCCACGCTCGCGCGTCAGCCGCGCGCGCGTCGAACTCTTTACAGAACATTCATCACCCACGCGAGTGCGCCGTCATCGTCGCCGGCGCGATCAGCATCGGCGCCCGCACAGGCCGCGCCGTCGTCGTTGCCCACGACGTCACCAACATCGCTGCTACCATCACCGTGTCTACCGTCGTCGACGTTGCCATGATACCTCGCCCGCCCAAGTCGCCGACTCGCACAGGAGTGCCCGCTGGGACGTGCCCGGCGGTCAGCGCCACCGCAGCCGCGTCGGACGCGCCAAGTTAGCCGGCCGCTGCGCGCGCGCTTGGATCGGCGCGGCCGCAGACATGAACCAGCCAACGTCAAGCACTCATCGCAATCGCCACCGCATAAGCTTTGCAAACCAAATTGCGGGTGGGCGGGTGGGATGATTGCGCGAGCAGTGGAGGTGGTCAAGCGCGGCACAGGGTAGACAATTGCGCCATATAGGTTGCGCCACATAGATTGCCCCGCCTAGACTGCACCACATAATCTGGGCCACCTAGATTGCATCACATCGATGCACCACCACGATTTGCACCACATAGATTGCACCAGGGTCCCAAGACGGCCCACGAAGCGCCTAAGACGCTCCAGGAGGGTCCCAAGAGGACATCCAGAGGCCCCGAAGACGCAAAAATCATTGATTCTGGTCGGGTTTTAGGACGATTTGGGCAGCACCGCCTTTTCAAACTGCCGACCGCCCTGGACGGCCCAAGAGGCCTCAAGATCGCTCTAAGACGGCCCAACAAGCCTCCAAGGGGGCCCCCAAATGGCCCACGATGGCCCCCAGAAAGCCCAAGAGGCTTCCAAGACGGCGCCAGGATGGCCCCAAGAGGCGCCCAGGAAGCCCCCAAAGGCCCCCAATAGCCCCCCAAGAGGCCCCAAGAAGCCCTAAAAGAGGCTCCCAAGAAGACCCCAAGAGGCTCCCCAAAGGCTTCAAAACTGCTCCCCAGAGGCTTCCTCCGAAAAGACTCCAAGAAGCATTCATGAGACTTTGACCCACAGACCATGTACGTCTCGAAACTCTGCTGGAGCTCTCTTGAGCCACCTTGGCGCCCTCTAGGGCAGTGTATCGGCTCTCTTCGACAGGGTGCGAGCCACATCTCCAAAGATCTCCTCGAAGACCGTCCTGCCTGCCCTATCGTTCACCCTCGGCACGAGCACACCACCACGTAGCCACAGTGATGCGAAATGGGCCGGCGGAATGGGCGAAGCGACTAAATAAACTTGCTGGATGTAGGCATGAAATCACATGGTATTATTCGGATCGGTGCGAGGTCGCATTGAGGCCATTGACCAGGGTGGTTCGGCAACTTCTTGGGCCAACTGTGCTTGGGGGCTGGGGGCGGAGTGGGCAGGACTGAATCGCCTCATCAATTTTTTCGGGAGACCTTCGAGGAAAGTTGCTCAATATACCGCAATAACAATTATGCGCCCGTGTCCCTCCTCCCTCCCGCCTCCAAATCACCCTCCCGTTCCTCTTCCTCCTTCTCCTCCTCCTCCTCCTCCTTCTCCTCCTCCTCCTCCTCATGCTCCTCCTCCTCCTACTCCACCATGTCGGTGGAATCCTCAGACGAGATGATGCATGGCGTCCCCACTCCCACTTCTGCACATCACACATGGACCGTCGCATGGCATCCTCCCGCTCATGTCGGCACAGGCCTTGCACGGATCGCTCCCCCCAGGGTGAACTGCCTACGTCCCCAGTGAGACCTCATGCCCCGCACTTCTCACTCAAGATTGTTACAAGGACTCCCTTGGCGCCGACAATCTGCGGCAGGAACTGGTTCCCCAGCACCAGCCAGACAAGCACCAGGTAGAACTGGACCCGCCAGCGGTCAGTCAGCAGGGCGCGCTGAAACGGTATGGCCATGGCGGACGCCACTGCGATGGCCGAGGGCGGTGCCAGAGTCAGCAGGAGGGACGTCTCGATGTCGACCGCCGACTTCGCCAGGCAGTCGATGCTCGCGGCAGCCGCCGACCCCCGCTTGCCAGGGGTGATGATGCATGCAAGACGCGCGACTCGTTGTCGTCGCCGCCGCCGTCGACGACGGATTGCCCTCCCCGAGTTTCGCCTCTGCGATCCCCGTGCGGTTTTCCGGCACGGCAGACCCACGAACCTGGAAAGGAGTTGCACTGCATATCGTTTACACTTGGACTTGGGCAACCACGGGGCAGCCGCGAAACAGCCCACAGGACAGCCCCGCGGGACAACAGCGGGCCAACCCGCGGGACTCCCCGCGGGACGGCCCGCAGGACGACCCGCGGGACGACCATGGGACAGCCCACGGGACAGCCGCGGGACGACCCGCCCGGGACAGCGCACGGGACAGCCGCGGGACAACGGACGGGACGACCCACGGGACAACCCCAGGGGCCAAGCCTCGGGGCAGCTCGGACTTCTCTTCGCCCCCCCCCCCGCCCGCGGGGCGCGCGAAGAACCTTTCTGCCCGACCTGGCCCCACGGGCCTGGGCTGGCACACTACACCGCCCCCGCGCGACCTCGCCTCGCCTCGCCGCGTGCCGCACGAGCCAGGACCGGGACCGCTGCCGCGGTCGGGGCCGCTTCACCCAGCCAAGGTTTGCAGACAAGACTGCAGCCCGCCAGCGCTGTACCCAGCCAACTTGACATCCAATGTACCTGCGCCACCCTCTATAATATAAAGATTTGAAACCCCCAGCCCTTTCGGGCGTGGGTGGTTTACGGAGCTTCTTCTTCCAACCCCCGTTCTTCCCCCTCGGGGAGGGGTTTACCCCTCCCCCCTACCCCGTCCCCTGGACCTGGACGGGGGGGGTCGCGTTCGGTCAGTGCGTCCAAGACAGCCCAAGAGGGCTCCAAGAGGGCCTCGGAGACCCCAAGATAACCTTCAAGATGGCTGAAGATAGCCCAAGATGCCGCAAGATGGCTCCCAATATGCTCCAAGAACCCCAAAAACGCTCCAAGACGGTTCCAAGAGGCCCCCGAAACCTACAAGGAGGCCTCCAAGAAGCCAACGTCCTTCAACCACCTAAGGAAAACCAATGAGTGTTGCATCGTCGCCCGTTCGCTCCCGATAGCCTTCCGAGGCCTCAAGATGGCTCCAAGATGGCCCAAGAGGGACCCGAGAGGGGCCCAAGAGAGCCTCAAGACGGCCCCACGAGCGCCCAAGAGCGCTCCAAGAGCGCCCCAAGAGAGGTCCTCGAGGCGATGCGTGGGGCTCCCAAGGGGGGACGCGAATTGGAGCTCCCCTCGTCGTTGATCGATGTCCTCCAAGATGGCCCCAAGAGGCGCCCAGGAGGACCCCAAGGGGCCCCCAGAGCCCCCGCCGAGGCACCCAAGACGCCCAAGAGCCCCCCAGGACCACCAAGGAACTCCAATACGTCCCTAGCGGCCTCCAAGAAGCGCCCAAGAGATACCCCAAGAGGCTCCGACAGGCATCCAAGAGACATCTGGCCCTTTTGCTTGCCCTCCTCCTCCTGCTCCTCGTTCCTCCCTTCCTCCTACTCATTATCTTCCTCCTCCTCCTCCTCCTCCTCCTCCTCCTCCTCCTCCTCCTCCTACTCCTCCTCCACCTCCTCCTTCTTCTCATCCTCCTTTTTCTCCCCCTCCTCCTCCTACTACTACTCCTCCTCCTCCTCATCCTATCCATCCTCCTTCACCCCATACCCTCATCCATCAATCCAGCCTCCTCACGTTCCTCCTCCTCCCTCTTCGCACAATTCGGCCGTCCCCATCTTTGCTCCCGCACTTCTCTGATCACCTCAACTCGCCCGGACATCGTTTCTGGATTGGCTGGTGGGGACACACGAAGCGTCTAGAATATCTAAATTTCAAGTACAAGCACCATCACAGAAACTCAAAGTCTAGATCGACATGCGGCCTTCGGATAGCATGTTCAACTTCATTCTGCGTCGCAGCAACGACCTGCCCCCACCCACCCACCATCCCCTGCCCCTCCACTCCTGCTGCAGCAGCATCCTCCCGTTCACCTATGGGATATCATATTTCCTCCTGTTCTTCTCCAAGTCCTGTTCGTTCTTGTTCGTCATTCCTCATGTTCCGCCTCCGTGACTCTCCATCCTCCATTATCCAGCTCTCCTGATCCACCTCCTCCTCCTCATCATCATCATCACCACCACCGTCAGCATCATCATCATCATCATCATCATCATCATCATCATCATCATCATCATCATCACCAGCGTCATCATCAGCATCATCGCCATACTCATCATCATCATCAGCAGCATCCTCATCATCAGCAGCAGCAGCAGCGGAATCACAATCATCATCGTCAGCATCATCAGCAGCATCAGCATCAGCATCATCAGCAGCATCAGCATCATCAGCATCATCAGCATCGCCATCATCATCATCATAATCAGCAGCCGCAGTATCATCATCAGCAGCATCATCACCATCACCACCATCATCATGATCATCATCAGCATCATCATCATCAGCATCAGCATCATCAGCAACAGCATCATCATCAGCATCACCATCACCACCATCACCATCGCCATCATCATCATCATCATCATTGTGATGATCATCGTCATCATCATCACCATCGTCATCGTCATCATCAGCATCACCATCGTCATCATCAGACTCATCATCATCCTCAGCATCAGCATCATCATCAGCATCCGCATCAGCATCATCATCGTCATCGTCATCATCACCATGCGCATCATCATCATCAGCATCAGCATCAGCATCAGCACCATCAGCATCAGCATCATCATTGCCACCATCAGCATCATCATCATAAACATCAACATCATCAGCATCATCAGCATCATCAACATCAACATCATCATCATCATCATCATCATGATCATCATCATGGGAATGGGAATGGGTCTCTGGGGGCGCCCAGCGAAGAGCTGGAAAACAAAAAGACCGGGCCTAAACCCTTTGAGTTTCAGCTTGTGTCACTTTCGCCCTGAGGGCCTACAGGAGGGTCAGCTGGCCCCGAACGCTGGGAATGGGGGCCCACAGGCGATTCGTGGCGACTCGTTGGTGGGGGGCCCGAGAGCCACGACGCACCACCGATCTGAGAGGGCATTCAATTAAATGGCCAGCGGTCCGTCGTGGAGGAGGGAACAGGCACAGGGGGGAGGCAGGCGCGAGGAGGAGAGGTGTTCCACAACAACTGACAGGCCGATCGAATTACAAATTCCGACGAGGAGCTATTCTTTTTCCTCTCTCTCACTCTCTCTCTCTCTCTCTCTCTCTCTCTCTCTCTCTCTCTCTCTCTCTCTCTCTCTCGGGCGCCCCCGCCTAGGCGCACAGGCCGTCGGGAGTGAAGGTCGAGTCCTCATAGCAGAATCTCACCAATGCAACCGATGATGTAGAACTGCTCGGATAGAAATTGCACCAAGTGTAAAGTACTGAACCATGAAGTTGAACAAACCCCTCCATTGCAATGCTGAGTAGAACTCGCCCTGACATAGACTTCTCGATGGCTGTGAAAATAAAGATTCCACTCTGCCACTGCCCAGACATCAACTGACTGGAGTTCGCATAGACTTCCACGGCGTCAATCTGAAACCAAAACTGAGAGCTGCTCATCCAAAAATTTACTTCTTTCGAGTGCGAGTATGTCGGCAAACAGGTACTGTAACTTTCGATTGGGCCGCGGCCCTCGATGCTGCTTCGAGCGTCACAATGCCCTGCTCCACCAAGTGCAATAATCTTTCACTGTGTGTACGGAGCATCAGCCTTTGATGCGCACTCAGCCGTGGACGTGTCACTTCTTCTCGCACTCGTCCAGGAGTTTCTGCGCTGCTCGCTCCAGCGGACCCCGAGGAGCGGGGCCCATCTTCGCGATGCCCTGGTTCCCTTTGAAAACGTTCACCAATAGCTTCTCCGCCTCGTCGCGGTCCCGGCTGAGAGCGAACGCGATCTTGGTCATCTCGGCCTGGCCGTCCTTCTTCTTGGCGGGCTTCGCGCGGCAATGGAGCACCACATCCTGAAGCTGCTGCGCTGTCTTGCCCTCGACGAACTGCGCCCAGAACTTCTCCATCTGCTCCTGGACGCCCTGCGAGAGATCTCCATTCGCCATGCCCTGTAGCATCGCTGTGAACACGCGCACGTACGGAACCCCGAGAACCTCCAGCTCTTTTGTCTCTCCCTGCAGCCGTTGCACCTCTTTGTGGCACGCCGCGCCCGCCGCCTTCACTGCCAAGCATATTGGGCGAGTGCTGAGCAGCAGAACGGTGCGCCACGAGATCCCCGCGACCTCTCTGAGCTCCGCGGCGTTCGACAGGGCGAAGCGTGCGAGAATTAGCACCAGCTTTGCCACCGTTTTTTCTTCGCTGCTGTCGACGATGTCGCTGGCCTGCCTTTTGCGTCGTTGGGCGGCGGGTTCTCCAGTTCCTTCGTGCCGTAACCCCCACGCTGGGGCCTTCAGCTCGAATGGCATCGTCAAGTCCACGCAGAGAGTCGAAAGGAGGAGCGTGCGATTGTAAGTGTTCTTGCAATCCCGAAACAGTGTCCGCCTCGAACGAGCATAAATGGCATCGGCGACGGAAGGGGTGAAGAGGGCCGCCTACGCATCTGGATCGATTGACACATACACCCCCGCGAAGTACACTTTTAACTACATGTTGTTGCGTTGCCACAACTGATCCATAAACTCCTTCACAATACGGGCACACATTTGTCACCACAAGAGAAACCCACGGGTCGCGCAATCCATGATAAGCGAGTCTGCGATGTGCTACGGCTTTGAAGGAGCGAAACTTCTTCAAACATGTCACCCCCTCCTCCATCTCAAACCCACAGACCCAGTCCTCAGGCTCCTGTTGTCGGCACGGCGTACACAGCGGGGCAATGCGAGGCACCGTCGAGGGGGTCCAGCCTGGCGGGGGCATCGCCGATGAGTAGGCTCCCTGTCGAAGCCGCGTGCAGTCCATCTGCGCAAACTCTTCCCCCAGCTCAACTTCACGAAATATCTGGAGAAAGCCAAGACGA